AGCCATTCATTTGGACGTTGAGTCTTCTTTAGACACTACCCAGGTCAAGAAGAGAAAAAAAAAACAAAAGGGAAAATGCCTATGCATGAGACTGTAGAGGGCATTCCCACCTTTGATCCTACTGCCAAACTTGTTAGTGATGATCTGACAAACACGTGGATAGGGAGGATTTTAATTTAAGAAAATTCAAAAACTTATGNATTATTTTTTGAGTTAACAAAAAATAAATCTATTCCACCCGCTCATCATTCGGATTTGTAGAATTTTATTTATGTATCTACACAAAAAAATGTTGCACCAAAAGTTACACCAACTTCCATGTAATCTTGTTTTTGAATTTATTTCTTTCGTTGGCAAGCCATCTACAAAGACTTACAGAACAACTCCAAAAATACTAATTAAAATAGTTAGTCAAAATATTTTTTTATATTATATTATTTATTTTAAAGAACAATTCATATCAATTCACTCCAACAACGCTCTCTATTTTAACTAACTATTTTAATCAACTTTAATTAAGTGATAATAATTATAATCTAAAATACTACATAGCATGTCACTTCATCGTCATATTGATAACATCACATGATGAAGTCTTACGTCATATCATCAAAATTTTAAAATTTAGATTTTTCAACGATTATATTGATAAGAGTTATATTTACAACGATCACGTCATTAAAATTTTAAAATTTGAATTTTTCGCCGGTCATATTTGGAATAGTCATATTTTTTCAACGGTTATATTGGTAACGGTCATATTTTTAACGATCATATTTTTTTAACGGTCATATTTTTTTTAATATATAAATAGGATCTTATCCTTCTCATTTTTATACACCTCAAATCCATTTTATTGGTATTGTACTCTTCTTTATTTTTATGTTATGACTCGTCATCTTGCAATCAAGATGATTCTTAACGCTTCTAACTCCGATGATAAATTGGAGATATAGAAATGAACAAACTCAGTAACGAGAAAAGCTCTGGAGTACGTCGTGGTTCCATTCAAGGTCAGTCAATTATTTTTCGCAATCGAGTTCAAAGGCATGAGAGAGTTTATTGCGATTATTTTGCTGAATCACCTATTTATCCCTCAAATTTATTTCGAATGAGATTTCAAATGAATTGAGTCATTTTTCCTTCCTATTTTATCTATGGTGGAAACTTATGATTCATATTTTGTAAAAAAAAAAAAATGTTGCTTAGATTACTAACTTGTTTTCCCTTCAAAAGATAACAGATGCTATAAGGATGCTTGCTTATAGAGTTGCAGTAGATGTTGTTGAAAATTATGTGAGGATTAACGAAAGCACCGTAATAGGTTTAAAAAGATTTGTAAATGTGATAATAGCAATTTTTTCCAATGAATATCTCAGGTCGCCAAACAAATGGTGATATTGCTAGATTATTAACAATGGGTACCAATCATTGAGTTCCTGACATGTTGGGTAGCATTAGTTGTATGCATTGGAAATGGAAAAGTTGTCCAATAGACTAGAAAGGTATGTATTATGGTCAAGTTCATGAACCAACAATTATTTTGGAGGCGGTAGTTTCATATGATTTCTAGATTTGACATATCTTTTTTGGGTTACCTGCATCCCATAATGATATCAACGTACTAGAACGTTCTTATATTTTTGCTCTCTTTTCAGAAGGTCGGGCTCCTCTAGTCAATTTCTTAGTCAACGGAAGCAATTGAGATATTATCTTACCGATGATATATATTCAAAGTTGACAACATTTGTCAAAACAATTTCATTTCCAAAAGGCAATAAGCAAATACATTTTGTAAAATTTAAAGAGTTAGCAAGAAAGGAGTCACCAATGATTCATCAAAGAATTTGGACTACGGCTATGACATACCTTAGGTTTATACTCGTTGAAGTATTCTCAAACCCTTCGTCAATATATCTTTGATTTTTGTTCATTTTCTTGCACAATATCCAAACTAACATTAAGTCAGGCCGAGATTATCATAAAGTTTTCCTCTACTATAAAGTTGTCACCTCGTTTTTTTTTTGTGGTGGATTCTACTTAAGGAGATATTAGTGAAGGTTGATCTATAAATTCATCATCTAATTTTGTTCTATCATTCAAGAGATTAGTGAAATAAGCATCATTTTGGAATAGTTCCATAAGTAATGCCTATAATTTAACATGGCCACCATGCTAAAATTAACAAACTTTCACAAATCAAAATTTTCAAATTACAACCACAATTCACTAATTCTAGAAGAGCACTATAATTTTCTCATATATCTTTCAAATTTGACCAAAAAGACTACAAAATTATAGAAACATAATTAATCATAAATTTTATCACAAAATTCACTACCCAATAACTAATTACCAAAATCCATATATATATATATGGTTTTCAGTGGGATATTTGGGTGGGGTTTTAGTGGGATTTTTGATGGTTTTTTCAATGGAATTTTTGGGTTTTTGGTGCGTTTTTTCAATGGGAGTTGAGCTAGAAAGAGATAAGGTTTCAATAGGATTTTTGTGACCCCATATATACATCCACAGAGAGAGAGAGAGAGAGAGAGAGAGAGAGAGAGTGAGTGAACTCCATACTTGGAGTGGACAAAGAAGCTTTTGTCTGGTTGAGAAAGACAATAAGCAAAGGAGACTAAAAATGAGGGTACTGTGGAGTGAAGAAATTGGCGCAAAAACCACAATACCGAGCTTCTTTGGTTTGTTAGGAGAAACTAGTCAAATGAGGGTTTTGGGAAATAGCTAATGAGATAGCTAGTTTGTTGGAGATAAAATTTAAGGAATGACTATTTAAAATAGCTAAGAAGGGACTTTTTATTGAACCCCTTGGAGTTGCTCTTAGGTCATAGCTACCCTTCCTCTTCTTATTGCCAAAAGATTGAGATTGGGTGAATCTCTTACAAAAAGGGTTTCTCCCATTGTTTCTTTTAAAGCCATTCATTTGGACGTTGAGTCTTCTTTAGACACTACCCAGGTCAAGAAGAGAAAAAAAAAACAAAAGGGAAAATGCCTATGCATGAGACTGTAGAGGGCATTCCCACCTTTGATCCTACTGCCAAACTTGTTAGTGATGATCTGACAAACACGTGGATAGGGAGGATTTTAATTTAAGAAAATTCAAAAACTTATGTTACATGCCCTAAAGTTTAGAAGGTGTTGAGGTTGGGAACGATCAAGATGTCAAAGATGCTAGCTCGCCGACTATGCAAGGTAAAAAATAACCTTTCGTCTTTTTCATGTTGTCTCTTCTTCTTTCTTTTGTTTTTAATAGCTTAGCATATCTACCTTTATCATGTTTCTGTCTTGGCCACTAGGATGACTTAGACTACTTTTCATGAAGGAAAATCCCTAGTAGGAGAAGCTTGAACATGCCATTGAGGACCCCCTAGTGATTGAGTTGGCTTCTAAAAGCAGATTGGAGGAGGCCTTGAAGGTCTCTAAAGAGGAGAGAGNCTAACTATTTTAATCAACTTTAACTAAGTGATAATAATTATAATCTAAAATACTACATAGCATGTCACGTCATCGCCATATTGATAACATCACATGATGAAGTCTTACGTCATATCATCAAAATTTTAAAATTNAAGATTGGAGGAGGCCTTGAAGGTCTCTAAAGAGGAGAGAGGCAAGGTCAAAGATAAAAAGAAGGAGCTTGTAGACTAGCTTGCGGCCTTTATACTACATAGCCATGANCAGATTGGAGGAGGCCTTGAAGGTCTCTAAAGAGGAGAGAGACAAGGTCAGAGATAAAAAGAAGGAGCTTGTAGACTAGCTTGCGGCCTTTATACTACATAGCCATGAGATTTGCTNTATTTTTATTTTTCATCTATCCAACCAAATATAAAAGAAATAAAGTGTATCATTCATACTTTCTATCCTTAAAGGATCGAAAGTGTATCTCTCATACTTTTAATCTTTCTTATTTTTTATCTTTTCTACCAAACAGAGCATAAGTAATTAATGATTAAAAAAAACTCCAAGGAAGATTTTAACTTTCACAGTGNGAGATTTGCTGTAGCGATGGGGTTTACTGGCAAAGGCGGGACCTTATCCCGACATGGGAATCATTATCTTTCGCTTGTTGATTCATTAACCTAGCTGTAATAGCCATATGAGAGGAAGTAGGGACAAATAGAAGGTAGTAGAAAACTTAATTGTTTCTCACAGACGACACTAAACTGATGATGCACAAAATTGATTATATACGATCAAATCAATCAAGTGTGTGTGTAAAACAATTAATGAAACAATTAATAATAAAATACAAAGATTGGGTGATTGGGTTTGAGTGACCTAACCACTGAAGGTAGCAATGATAATTAGATAACTCTATTAATGAGAGAGTATAAAGTAGTAGGAAAGAGTCTGCAAGAGTACGCTCAAGGTAAAGGTTGTGGATCTGTGTGAGGGGTTTACANATAGAAAACTTAATTGTTTCTCACAGACGACACTAAACTGATGATGCACAAAATTGATTATATACGATCAAATCAATCGAGTGTGTGTGTAAAACAATTAATGAAACAATTAATAATAAAATACAAAGATTGGGTGATTGAGTTTGAGTGACCTAACAACTGAAGGTAGCAATGATAATTAGATAACTCTATTAATGAGAGAGTATAAAGTAGTAGGAGAGAGTCTGCAAGAGTACGCTCAAGGTAAAGGTTGTGGATCTGTGTGAGGGGTTTACAATTTATATGTGGAGAGTCCTAACTGAGACGGTGCCGTAAAGGTCAAGATACTAATTTATCGAGAAAGCTAGCTATAATTGGGATGAGTACTATCTTAAAATAATGACTATTCCAATAATTATCCTTTCGCACACATCTTGATAATTATTTTTTTTTATGCATCGGTTCTTGAACTTTAGATGGAACCGAAATGTTTGATTAGATTAGACCTGTCTTTTAATTGATTTGAATTTAATCTAAGAAATGAGCCCACATCCTAGTTAGATTTGGCCTCTAAATTATATATTTAAAAATTATGAGATGTACTTCAAATCACACTACTCTGCTGCCACAAGTGGAGTCCATAAAAACTTCAGAGAAGGTTTACTATTCAGAGATCTGCATCGGGGAATCGGTAAAATCATATCAACCATGAAACTTCGATATGCCATGGTTTGTTCGTCGAATCAGAACCGTAGCATGGAGGCTCATTCCCTCCTCAAACGAGAGGGCTTCGATGTGTCATCGTATGGAACTGGGCAACACGTTAAGCTTCCTGGTCCTTCCCTCAGAGAACCCAACGTCTACGACTTCGGTACTCCTTACAAGCATATGTTCGATGACCTCAGGCGCAAAGATCCTGAGTTGTAGGTTTTTCTCTTTCTTTATTGATTTCATAGTACTCTCTGTTTGGCTTCCGAAGAAATAAGCGAAAAGAACAGAAGAAAACAAAAGAAATTTTGAATTTCATTAAATGTTTGGTTACTGAGAATATGATGGAAAATAAAAGAAAAATTCGACATCGTGGGATCAAACTGAGGACAGCCACTAAGTGCAAATAATCTCAGATTAGGACTGTTTACATCTCCAATGATTCTCAAAACTTGGTGATCATCCTTTAGAAAGTAGGAGTTTGAATTTTAATCTTTTATGCTCTTTGAATTTTAATCTTTTATGATCTTTCTTATTTATGATTTTTTCACTTATCAACTTGTGACCATGTTAGTTTTTGTGAATTTTAGTTGTAAACTATGTTTATCTTTCTTTTTGTCTCTTTGATGCTTTAGAAGGCAATATCTTGTTTAAGTTAAATGTAGGGTGTCCATCGATTTTTTTCTTCTTATTTAAAGTTTTTCATGACATTGAATCTGTAATTTTATGCTTAAAATTCAATGCTTCAATTGGTAGTTTAATGGCGCACATATATAGGTGCATGTATGGTTAAATACACACATATATGTGGTTTGACTGTTCCATGGTGTATATGTATATGTACCAGTATGTCTGCATGCATATACATATTTGTGTGTGTTTGTGGGTGTAAGTAAGTAAGCGATTGTAGGGAAGTGATGCCTTAATGATGGTGCAGATACAAGCGTAATGGGATATTGCCAATGCTTAAAAGGAATATTTCTGTCAAATCAGCACCTCAGAGGTGGCAAGAGAATGCAGCTGATGGTTCTTTTGATGTGGTGTTTACATTTGAAGAAAAAGTGTTTGATATGGTTCTTGAAGGTTGGTTTTTCGGAATTTCAATTTATTTGCTTGGTGGGGATAATTGAACATCATACGCCATTAAATGATTGAATGATTTTGTAAATTTATTTTGTTTGGTGTCTGTGAGTGGTGCCAGGAACAGCATTTTAAATGAAAGCAGTTTCTTTTTTATTCCATGGTTTTGTGGTAACTTTTAGAACCTGCAGTGAACTCTTTGGTGCAGTGGTTTGATGATGAGTAGCATAGATGACAAAGACTTGTGCTGTTGAACCTTGCAATCGTTGGTAGTATTTGGGAATATTAGGATACTTATGGGTTCTTATGTTTATATATGGCTGAGTGGGTGTGTTCCCCACCATTAATCGTTCAAGTGTTTGAATGATTCATTCACCGTATACTAGTCCTCATAGTTTCTGAAATGACATATATCAACAATCCCTTCAAATTTGACCACTAATTTCTAGTACTGATTATAACAAAAAGGTTCTAGTGTGAGGATAAAATATGATTATGCAATCCAAAGCTAGCAGACGGACTATAATGTAGATAACTATGTGATGCATTTTAAAAAATGTTGACACAAGTTTCAAAATATGAAATTTTAAGAGGATCGATAACAACGATGGGACATGCACTTGAAGCCTTTTGGCTTATTACAAGATTGTGAGAGTTTAAAATCTGCTTGAAGGCAATAATATAGGAATTTTTGTTATTTTTTGGTTCTAATATATGGAGTTAGAAGTTGGCTGCTCATAGCAGTGTGATCTTTGGCCTGTATGGAATCTCATTCTGGATGCCTGATGAAAACTTAAATTTGCTTAAAAGTTCACAAAGTCTGATGTTGGTTCTTTTGAACATTTTTTATATAGGCAGTTTAATAGCCTAGTTCGGTTTAAGTTCTTAAATTTATCTATCTTGATTTTAGCACTGGGATCCTCCTAGCATGTTTGGATTTTGTAAACCTATTTGTTCTTTTGGGGCCAATATGGACATCTACTTTTGGGTGTGTCAAAATCCATTTGAGGATACTATCCACTTACTACATACAAAATTTTGGANAAAAAAAAAAAAAATCTATTCCGCCCACTCATCATTTGGATTTGTAGAATTTTATTATTATTTTTTGAGTTAACAAAAAATAAATCTATTCCACCCGCTCATCATTCGGATTTGTAGAATTTTATTTATGTATCTACACAAAAAAATGTTGCACCAAAAGTTACACCAACTTCCATGTAATCTTGTTTTTGAATTTATTTCTTTCGTTGGCAAGCCATCTACAAAGACTTACAGAACAACTCCAAAAATACTAATTAAAATAGTTATCAAAATATTTTTTTATATTATATTATTTATTTTAAAGAACAATTCATATCAATTCACTCCAACAACGCTCTCTATTTTAACTAACTATTTTAATCAACTTTAATTAAGTGATAATAATTATAATCTAAAATACTACATAGCATGTCACTTCATCGTCATATTGATAACATCACATGATGAAGTCTTACGTCATATCATCAAAATTTTAAAATTTAGATTTTTCAACGATTATATTGATAAGAGTTATATTTACAACGATCACGTCATTAAAATTTTAAAATTTGAATTTTTCGCCGGTCATATTTGGAATAGTCATATTTTTTCAACGGTTATATTGGTAACGGTCATATTTTTAACGATCATATTTTTTTAACGGTCATATTTTTTTTTATATATAAATAGGATCTTATCCTTCTCATTTTTATACACCTCAAATCCATTTTATTGGTATTGTACTCTTCTTTATTTTTATGTTATGACTCGTCATCTTGCAATCAAGATGATTCTTAACGCTTCTAACTCCGATGATAAATTGGAGATATAGAAATGAACAAACTCAGTAACGAGAAAAGCTCTGGAGTACGTCGTGGTTCCATTCAAGGTCAGTCAATTATTTTTCGCAATCGAGTTCAAAGGCATGAGAGAGTTTATTGCGATTATTTTGCTGAATCACCTATTTATCCCTCAAATTTATTTCGAATGAGATTTCAAATGAATTGAGTCATTTTTCCTTCCTATTTTATCTATGGTGGAAACTTATGATTCATATTTTGTAAAAAAAAAAAAATGTTGCTTAGATTACTAACTTGTTTTCCCTTCAAAAGATAACAGATGCTATAAGGATGCTTGCTTATAGAGTTGCAGTAGATGTTGTTGAAAATTATGTGAGGATTAACGAAAGCACCGTAATAGGTTTAAAAAGATTTGTAAATGTGATAATAGCAATTTTTTCCAATGAATATCTCAGGTCGCCAAACAAATGGTGATATTGCTAGATTATTAACAATGGGTACCAATCATTGAGTTCCTGACATGTTGGGTAGCATTAGTTGTATGCATTGGAAATGGAAAAGTTGTCCAATAGACTAGAAAGGTATGTATTATGGTCAAGTTCATGAACCAACAATTATTTTGGAGGCGGTAGTTTCATATGATTTCTAGATTTGACATATCTTTTTTGGGTTACCTGCATCCCATAATGATATCAACGTACTAGAACGTTCTTATATTTTTGCTCTCTTTTCAGAAGGTCGGGCTCCTCTAGTCAATTTCTTAGTCAACGGAAGCAATTGAGATATTATCTTACCGATGATATATATTCAAAGTTGACAACATTTGTCAAAACAATTTCATTTCCAAAAGGCAATAAGCAAATACATTTTGTAAAATTTAAAGAGTTAGCAAGAAAGGAGTCACCAATGATTCATCAAAGAATTTGGACTACGGCTATGACATACCTTAGGTTTATACTCGTTGAAGTATTCTCAAACCCTTCGTCAATATATCTTTGATTTTTGTTCATTTTCTTGCACAATATCCAAACTAACATTAAGTCAGGCCGAGATTATCATAAAGTTTTCCTCTACTATAAAGTTGTCACCTCGTTTTTTTTTTGTGGTGGATTCTACTTAAGGAGATATTAGTGAAGGTTGATCTATAAATTCATCATCTAATTTTGTTCTATCATTCAAGAGATTAGTGAAATAAGCATCATTTTGGAATAGTTCCATAAGTAATGCCTATAATTTAACATGGCCACCATGCTAAAATTAACAAACTTTCACAAATCAAAATTTTCAAATTACAACCACAATTCACTAATTCTAGAAGAGCACTATAATTTTCTCATATATCTTTCAAATTTGACCAAAAAGACTACAAAATTATAGAAACATAATTAATCATAAATTTTATCACAAAATTCACTACCCAATAACTAATTACCAAAATCCATATATATATATATGGTTTTCAGTGGGATATTTGGGTGGGGTTTTAGTGGGATTTTTGATGGTTTTTTCAATGGAATTTTTGGGTTTTTGGTGCGTTTTTTCAATGGGAGTTGAGCTAGAAAGAGATAAGGTTTCAATAGGATTTTTGTGACCCCATATATACATCCACAGAGAGAGAGAGAGAGAGAGAGAGAGAGAGAGAGTGAGTGAACTCCATACTTGGAGTGGACAAAGAAGCTTTTGTCTGGTTGAGAAAGACAATAAGCAAAGGAGACTAAAAATGAGGGTACTGTGGAGTGAAGAAATTGGCGCAAAAACCACAATACCGAGCTTCTTTGGTTTGTTAGGAGAAACTAGTCAAATGAGGGTTTTGGGAAATAGCTAATGAGATAGCTAGTTTGTTGGAGATAAAATTTAAGGAATGACTATTTAAAATAGCTAAGAAGGGACTTTTTATTGAACCCCTTGGAGTTGCTCTTAGGTCATAGCTACCCTTCCTCTTCTTATTGCCAAAAGATTGAGATTGGGTGAATCTCTTACAAAAAGGGTTTCTCCCATTGTTTCTTTTAAAGCCATTCATTTGGACGTTGAGTCTTCTTTAGACACTACCCAGGTCAAGAAGAGAAAAAAAAAACAAAAGGGAAAATGCCTATGCATGAGACTGTAGAGGGCATTCCCACCTTTGATCCTACTGCCAAACTTGTTAGTGATGATCTGACAAACACGTGGATAGGGAGGATTTTAATTTAAGAAAATTCAAAAACTTATGTTACATGCCCTAAAGTTTAGAAGGTGTTGAGGTTGGGAACGATCAAGATGTCAAAGATGCTAGCTCGCCGACTATGCAAGGTAAAAAATAACCTTTCGTCTTTTTCATGTTGTCTCTTCTTCTTTCTTTTGTTTTTAATAGCTTAGCATATCTACCTTTATCATGTTTCTGTCTTGGCCACTAGGATGACTTAGACTACTTTTCATGAAGGAAAATCCCTAGTAGGAGAAGCTTGAACATGCCATTGAGGACCCCCTAGTGATTGAGTTGGCTTCTAAAAGCAGATTGGAGGAGGCCTTGAAGGTCTCTAAAGAGGAGAGAGACAAGGTCAGAGATAAAAAGAAGGAGCTTGTAGACTAGCTTGCGGCCTTTATACTACATAGCCATGAGATTTGCTGTAGCGATGGGGTTTACTGGCAAAGGCGGGACCTTATCCCGACATGGGAATCATTATCTTTCGCTTGTTGATTCATTAACCTAGCTGTAATAGCCATATGAGAGGAAGTAGGGACAAATAGAAGGTAGTAGAAAACTTAATTGTTTCTCACAGACGACACTAAACTGATGATGCACAAAATTGATTATATACGATCAAATCAATCAAGTGTGTGTGTAAAACAATTAATGAAACAATTAATAATAAAATACAAAGATTGGGTGATTGGGTTTGAGTGACCTAACCACTGAAGGTAGCAATGATAATTAGATAACTCTATTAATGAGAGAGTATAAAGTAGTAGGAAAGAGTCTGCAAGAGTACGCTCAAGGTAAAGGTTGTGGATCTGTGTGAGGGGTTTACAATTTATATGTGGAGAGTCCTAACTGAGACGGTGCCGTAAAGGTCAATATACTAATTTATCGAGAAAGCTAGCTATAATTGGGATGAGTACTATCTTAAAATAATGACTATTCCAATAATTATCCTTTCGCACACATCTTGGTAATTATTTTTTTTATGCATCGGTTCTTGAACTTTAGATGGAACCGAAATGTTTGATTAGATTAGACCTGTCTTTTA